AGCTTTAAATATACCTCTAGTTTTAGTTACAAAATCTTTGTTCAACACGTGCCTCTAGAGATAGATGTACGGAGGCACGTGTTGGCCATAGTACTAGTATGAGGTTGTTAATAGAAATGGATGGACGACCTGATGCCCCGTGTCCTAGTTAGTTGGCAGAGGAAGATTAGAACTCCAGAGTAGGCTTCCGTGGTCGGCTGATTGTTCAGCCCTAACACCATATCCTATAGTATAAGTATAGTCTTTTTCCCTATCTCAGCTATATCAACAAGGCTGATCACTCATCCGCTTGTAAATGAATGGTGTAAGACTCACTCGTCAATGAAAAAATGAATTGTGTCAGAATTTTTCACTGATCAGGTGTAATCAGTCTCATCCGTGTAAGAATTTGGAGTTCCTCTTCCAACCCGTCCCAGATTGGGCGTTATGGCAAAGAACAAGAAGAAAAAGAAAGAAGAAATTTGTCCAATAGTAACAAATGGTGCCTCCACAGGTTGACATCCGATCCAACCTAGTAGTAAGCGATCCGCCAAAAGCAACCAAAATATTCCTTGGTGAATCGGTCGAAAACTTGAACTACGCACATACATACTTTTCAAAAAAGGTAAAGCCAACAGAGATATAGAAACTGGTGCTATTGCGGCTACACCTCCCGATTTGTCAGGTATACTGCGAAGAATGGCATGGATCGGTAGGAAATACCATTCCGGCACAATATGAGGCGGGGTGGGCATCGGATTAGCAGGTATATAATTGTCGGGATGCCCCAAAACATTAGGAGCATAAAAAATCCAAATGGAAAAAAAGATAGCAGAAGCTACCCGACCTACTAGATCCTTTACATAAAAATAAGGGTAAGAAGCAATTTTATCCATCTCTGAATGTACACCCAATGGATTATTTGATCCATATTGATGCAATGCGGCCAGATGAAGAAGACTGGCGCCTACTAAAAGAAAGGGGAGTAAATGATGAAGACTAAAAAAACGATTTAAGGTGGCATTGTCCACGGAGAAACCACCCCAAAGCCAAGTCACTATGGTATCTCCTACTACAGGTATGGCGCTAGCTAAGCTTGTAATTACTGTAGCTCCCCAAAAGCTCATCTGACCCCAAGGTGGTACGTATCCTATAAAAGCTGTCACAATCATTAATAGGAATATTACAACTCCGAGACACCGAACCAATTCCCTAGGACTGCTATAACTCGCACTAGCTAAGGATCTAGGGTTTTCATTGACCAGCGATCAGAAAGTAGAAAAAGTCTTTGACACGTTTATCCGATAAAGAATTGGCTGAGTTGTCTCGGATGAGCATACTTCGAATAGCTCGTATGAAGGGTAAAGCATCTTTCCTTAAAACACTTTCAGTAAACTAAAAACTAAGGAATACTCACTTTGGCCAATCTTCGGAGGATTCCCTTTGCTCCACTAGCCTTGATTAGCTAATAGAAGTACCAAGGTTCGTCTGTGAGTCTCGTGAGCAAGGCTGCATATAGGAGTGATCTTTCCTTTTGGATGGCCTTAAGGCAGACCCAGACCAAGATAGCGGTTGGATACTGCTGTGATTCTCATGCATGAGAGCTGTGAAACTAAACAAGAAAACTATCGTGTCTAAGTTCAACGCTGCGCGCCTTTTGAGAAAATAGAATATACTTCACACACATCGTTCGAACATCAAAAGAGAAGATAGAAAAGAATCAGTCAGAGAGAATGTCTGGAGATAGAATAGTAAGTAACCGTAACTAGGAAACCCGATAGCAATCCACTAGGGCTGCTAATGCTAAGGCCATACACATTTCTTCTCCTGTTTTTATGTTACTAACTAATAACCAAGGACCATTAGTAGAATCCTCCCTGATACCATTGGCTCGAGCTCCACCAGTATCTTTACCTTGTACAGGAACCTTTCCCATATCCACAATATCTTTTTTTTTATAATCAAACTGCAAGCATCAATCAAGTGTCCAATCCTTCCACAATTGAAGCAAAAGGTTGGGATAATTTCATACTCCACCTTTTGAAAAAATCTTCCATTCATCCCATCCACCCAAGCACCCAATGTAAGTTGTTTGTCAAGCTCAACTCGGACATAGACTCTAGCAAACTCCCTTCTTCCCCATTGAAACAAGTCGCCATCGATCAAAAGGGGTTTACCAAACAGAGAATATTTTCTTGACACATTGATTTCATCCCAACAATAAAGTGGAAGGTTGGACATCCTAATCCAGTTCGGAGAGGACAGTCCCTTAAGAGAATCTAGATTTTAATTAAGATTCAACTTATCAAGTCCAATGATATGGACATTCACAAACCAAGGGCCACTAGATAATACGTTCTCCATCGATTCAATAGTAAAAAAAAGAACATAGCAGCCAACCCGAGCCAAGAACAGTCAAGTGGAACTTTCCAAATTGTGACCAATGATGTCTCAACTCATCTGCTATCACCTCAATAGGGATAAATCTAACAAATACTTTCACGATAATAGAGAATTGAAGCTTCATGAAATTGTCTTTAACATTAGGTTCAAACAGCTTAACTACATAACCATCCTCCGATAGGAAGGATGCATTATCCAACATGTTAACATTGATATAGGGATGCTTCGACCAAGGATTTCCAGGATGTTGCTTAATCATCTCTTTAACACCAAATTGAGTTCCCTCTACTGAAACAGGACCTTGCCCATTCTCTGATGTAATATCACAAATAGTTGATGGATCAACGCTTTTGCTTTGAACAGATCGAGCACCTTCAGAAATGGAAATAGGTTTACCATTGGCAAACCTATTAACGAATAACTTCATGTTTGAGGAAGATGATTGGACATTATTAACGCTAGGAACACCATGTGGAGTATTTTCCTTAAACTCTTCCACAATCTGCTTGCCTTTACCTATAACCGGTGGTGAGGATTGAACTTTAACACCAATTGGTTCTCTGATAACTAGAGCATTGGAGCGAATGAACTTTGGAGAAATCACGGGCTGAGATGGGACGACTGAACTAGAAATGCCACGAGAGGCAGGAGAGAAATTCTGGCCATCAAAGATGGCCGGTGGCCGATCCTCCATGTCTAGCAGAAAACCTGCCAATGTAAAGACTAAGATAAATTTTGAAAAAACAATTCAAATTCTGGGAGCTTCTCTCTCTAAAGTTGTCTCTCATATTTAATGCTATTGGGCATGTAGCAACGCAGCAAGAAAGAAATGGTAGTATGATTTCAATGTCGAAAGGTTTGCATAATTACTTTTGTAGCGTAAAAAAGAAGGGAAGGATTGCATATTTCCATTTAGAAATCTAAAATAATAATTTACTCTAAAAATTTTAAATACAGAGAGTTTTTTTTCTTAAGTTTATTGTAGCTATTTATAGAAGTAATTGTATGACTGTTACAAGAGGATTATTTTTTAAAAAGATCAACAAATATAATTACTAAGAAATGGAAGCATAAAAATACATGATTTTCTTATGCATTTTTCTATCAGTTATGTATTGATTTTGCATTGAAAATTTAAATTAATAAAATACTGTAATAAATTGTAATGCTGAATTTTAGTTTTTTTAAAGAACACAATTTTAAACATAAAAAATTCTCAAATGAAAAGTAATGCAAATACCACTCAGTCAACAAATAATTAATAGAACAAAACTAATGCCAGTACGATTGGCCACCACCTACAACCATCGTCGATTGTCAACGCCACCAAAGGCGCCCCCTCCCCATGCCGCCGCAATTGCTGCCAAAGACAGTTGTGGCTGGCCACTGATATATGCTAGACATCGACCGTCATTATCGTTGTCGTTGTCCATTGCTACGATTCTTTCCCGCTAATCACCGCCACTGCCTTAGTTGGGCTTTACGTAGATTCAAGAAAAAAAAAACCACTTGCATTCATTTAACATACACCTAAACATATTCAAACATTTCAAATATATTGTATTAATTTTATATTATATTTCATTTTATTTGAACTTTTTTAATCTAGACAAAGGGCTTCTAACTTTACATACCTGTTAACTTCCTTCACATGGTTCACTTGCACTAGCCCGCCAACAACATGCTAGTAGGCTTCGGTGTTATACATAAATATTCTAAGGTGCAGTTAGTTCGGATTGATGCCTATGATAAGAAGATCCGCACAATATGAAGACCAAAAAATTAAAAGCAAACTATAAACATGGAGATTCAAAATTATACTACCCATAGTGACTTTTTGGAGATAAGGAAAAGATCTTTTAAGATGATTAAAAAAGAACTAGTGTGAGTTTAATGGAATGCCCTAAGGGAACGCACCTTAGAAGAGTTATCCAACTTAAGAACTCATTGAAGGAGACCTAAATAAAGAACACTGACATAATCACTCCATTTATAAAGAGTACAAACTATTCGACCTCATGAGCCTGGTGTACAGTCGGAATTTGATGAGCACAAGCAGTATTGGTTAATCTAATCAACATTTCATTCTTTTATGTAGGTTATTTCCATAAAAATAACATAAGGTGCTATAAGAAGTATTGGTTTAAAAGCTTGAGTCTAGTCGAGGGTGGGGGATTAATGCATCTCTAACATCTAGGGAAGTAGGAGTGATTTTGATGCATTTTGAGGAAGAAATATGGTGTATAATGTTTCTCACCGTGTCAAAGAAAGGACAAGGGCCCCAAGCAACCCCCCCCCCCCCCCACCACCGGATCTAAACGGGTCAACCCGAACCCGACCCGTTTTTGCAAACGAGTCGGAAATTTCAACCCGGATCCGACCCGGTCGGATTGCCGGGTTGACCCGACCCGACCCGCGAGGCAGAGGGTAGAGCTCGCGACAGCGCGAGTGCGAACGGATCGCGCGTGCGGAAGAAGTCCAGCAGTCCGCTGGACCGAGCGATGGCACGTTCGGACGAAGTCCGAGTCTGACAGTCCGAGGCACCGCACCGCACGTCCAGGAGGGAGACGGCGGGACCGCGCCTGCGGACGGAACGTGCGGCATCGGCCGATGCCGCGATGGTGCGAGCGTGGGACCACGTGAGCACGGTAACAGCGACGCCGCGAGTGCGGGCGAAACGCCAAAAACCAGGATGGATTCGATTTTCGGGTCAGTATCGGGTCAACCCGAACCCGACCTATTTTTGAACTGGTCAAAAATCCGAACCGACCCGTTTTTCAAACGGGTAGACTCAAACCCGGATTTTTTCGGGTTGGGTTCGGGTTGGGTCAAAAATTGACACCCCTAACCACATGAGTACAGACTATTCAACCTCATGAGTCTGAGGTTTTTATTATCACAAGCATTAATAGTTTAGCTATTCCAATTTAAAATCTTTTATGGAGATTATTTCCTTAAAAATAACAAGGACCTTTTAGAAGTCTTGATTTAATGGCTGGAGCCTAGCTGAGGAGTGTATAAGGTTTCTCTCCATGTCAGAGAAAGGAGAAGAGCTCCGCTATGTTAGGATAAAATGAGTTGGTAAGTGGAATTATGTGGGATGAGGAGCTTGGGGAGTGGACATGCTTCAAGGGGTTCAATCACTATAAAAATCTAATTTATGTTTTTTTTCCCTACTTTTCATTATTTATCTAGTTTTATTTATACAAAGTGGCGCTAAAATTTAAAAACAAGAAAAAGTTATTTTATCACACTTGCTCTTGAATTTATTTTTAAATTATTGTATTACTCTTGTGGCTTATCTTCAAATGTTATTAAGACTTCTACTATAATTGTTGTTGTTTGTTAATTGCTGTTTAAATTATCAATTCACCTTCTCCCTACGCCCCCAGCGCGCACTTGCTTGTTTAAAGTCACATTCATTTGGTATCAAAGCATGCTTTTTATTTCTTTTTTTTTTGGTTAAAACCCGCTGTAGGGCCTATGCGTTAAATTAATTAAACCGGTTACAAAGTCCTTAGAACGATACTCTAGCTCGCTACTGCTCAAAAGAGCTACAACAAAATGAAAAATAAAACCTAAGAGCCGATGGTTCCTTTTTCTAATATTACAAAAAAGACCTAATAGAACACTCGGGCTGCAGGCAAACAACACCCAAAAAAGGAAGAGCAGATTTCTAACATGAATTTTGGATAAAGAATGTAGAATCTCTAGGGCCTATGGTAAGAAATGAAGGAGTTTCTATGGATCTCTAGAAGTTGCAGTGTAGTTGATTGATCTAGGATGACTTCAACTATAGAGGTTGACAATATTTTGAATGGTAGGTTATAAAAGGGAGCTTGTCAGAGGCTTTCTATAGAATTAAATTTCTTTTACAAAATTAGCCTAGAAGGCTATACTGTTTGATTGAACTCTAGAGTGAAAAGCTAGTTTCTACAAGTTGAAGAAGTATTTGGTGTGATCCCTTATATTAACTATCCATTTGAAGTTGAAGGATTTTATGTGTACAATGATGCTTCATTGAAAGGTTTTGGATGTGTATTGTAGTAGACCAAGGAAGTAATTGCTTATGCTTCCAAGTAGTTGAAGCCGCATGAGAGAACTATCCTACATATAATCTAGATTGATGGAATTTGTATTTTCTTTCAAAATACTGAGACTTTATCTATATAGTGCTAGGTGTGAGATCTTTACTAACCATGATCGTTTGAAGCATATTTTAACCTCATAGTTAAATATGAGGCAGCGAAGGTGGTTAGAATTCAATAAGAATTATGATTTAAATATTATCTAGCAGCCTAGAAGAGCAAATATCATTGTAAATTCTTTAACTAGAAATATTTATGGGAGTAGTAAATTAGTCTAATCACTTCTGACCAGGCGTCTATTCAAAAGATGGAAAGGCTAGAATTTAAAGTATTATACTCAAATCTGATGTGCATGCAAGAAATATTTATATGATGATTATTCATCCCAACAACATCAAGCCTTTATCCCACTACGTGGGGTTGG